GCATGTACGAGCATGATGGCAAATCAGTCTTTTCAGTTAGTGCTATCTTTTAATCTTGCTCATCATAAACCTTATTTACTTTGGGCAAAAAACAAGTCTGAATAAAATTTTATAAATTTGCATATATTTATTTATTTATTTCATCTATTCTCAGTTCAAGACTCCGTTGTTGAATATCAACATAAATTTTCAATATACATTAGCATAAGCGATACTCTCGAGTTATTTGATGGCAGATAAGAGCAGATAAGAAACTCATATTTATTTTATTCAAAAGCCACTTTTTGTTTGTCCCACATTGATAACGCATATCAAGTGCAAATGGAATCATTAAAATCGTACAACAGGTGACAATACCCTTCAGGAAAAGATTCTAAAATTTAAATTACTTTTGGATTAGTATTAGTAGCAGCTACACCATGCATTAACCTTGGCATGAGACAAGCGAGCAGCAGCGTGTCATACGAGAATGCATACCTCCATCTCGACGCCGCCAACCCACCACCGAACAGCAGGCAGTTGCTTCTGCCGCCCGTCATCATCAACAATGAACTTAATAGCAAAACTATATCCACCATATACCAAGCACTTTTTGAATGCAGCACAATCATTTTCAAGCATTCCAATATCTTTTCTGTTTAACGACTTTTATGCAATTTTCTCAAAGTGTTCTTTTGAAACCTCGGTAGTTGAGCAGTCCCAAAAGGTTATTCATTCAAAGTAAGCATTTTATACAATTATTATTTTACAACCGCTTTACTATATATTACTATATGGTTTTGTGTTCTGTCCACTGGAAGGCATTTACTTTCAAATTGACCAGGAAAATTTAAGCCCAAACGCGTCAATCAAAGCGTGCTCTGTATATGCGTAAGCAGCTCCATGTTGTCAGACAATTTAGCCTTTTGACAACTTGTATTAACAATTTACAAACAAGGTGTAAATATTAATATATTGGAAGAATTAATAAATTAAACGTAAAAGACCAATAGCGCGATTTAGATGTTTCTATTTTCACTCGGCTGTTCCTGTTAAATGAGTTCTGGGAACTGGGTGACTGGATTCTGAACCGAGACAGCTCCCAAAACCCAGACACTACAATTATACGATTCAACTGTCACTCTTTTTAACTGTCATTTTGGTTACCATTTCACTCTAGTCATCTGTTTTGAATTGGTCTCTTCGGTACGACATTCATACTCTTTAATCATAAAAGTCGAGCGCGATTTTCTTTCCAGCATGCTACTATTTGGCCCATATCCAACAACTCTGCAACGGTATCTTTTGTACAATTCACGCTCCTTGCCGCCTTGAAAAATATGACGAGAAATAAAGATTGAGCTTTGACTTTCCCAAGAAAAAGTCTTGCAAGAGTTTTGTGACCATTTAAGTATTCTAAAACGCGCGCTACGTAGAAGAGTCAAGACGCAAAGTGTAGATTAAAAAAAAAAAAAAGAGCAAAGTTGAACTCTTGACTTTCAGGTCACTTTGCCACTATCTTGAATTTA